TTAAACTTTTTCATAATTAAATGACATTCAAATTTTAAATGACTTCAATTTAACCTTAGAAGTTTTCCCGCTAACAATATATTAAAAATCTTTTGATATTTCTGATTATGAATATTCACATATTACTTTTGATTATAGAGTCGACCATTAGCCATACTATGTTAACTAAGGAAAGATAAAAATTTAATTAGAAACCAATTTGAACTAAAAATGTAAAGGAAGATTGATTGAAATTAGATATGAAGTAATATAGAGGGGAAGTATTCAAAACATAGATTTAAATGAAAGCACTTATCCAGTGAAATACTTTGAAACTACAAAGATATTAGAAGTAGAAAGCTCAAATAATTCTGATTCTTAAGTTCTTGAAATAGAAATTCATCTATATATTAAGAATTTGCACTACATGGCTGTTTAAGTAATAACAATTTCACATGAGTGTATGAATGCAAAAATCACAACTTTATCTTAAATACAAACAGATTTCTTATTCGATATCAATTATACAGCCAAAATAATCTATTAGTTTCCTATCTTCAATATTGATAACAGCAATTGTACTATTTACTATGATTTAAGAGCGCCATCAGAAAGTGACACAAGCTTTATAACATTTGATAATATCAGTAGAACAATGGAAATTTTTACTGATAACAATGATTATCATGGAGTTTATATTATCACATTCTGGGTATTGGTATCTGGATTTGAAGTCAGGAATGTATCTTATAATTTAACAGTAAACATAAGGCATTAATGCGTGCTAGAGTACATAACAGATTAGTAACCTATACCTGATTTATTTTATGATATTCTTCCTAGTAACACCGACCCTGTTTGATTAAAAAGAGAAGACTTCTATTAATAAAGTCTTGATGAAAGCTAACATTTATCTTATAAATGTCCTAAATACTAATATAGTTTGCGGACATTGGATGAACTACCCATAAACCTAGATTTTATCTAACTTACGGAAAATTTCATAGAAGTGTTTTCAACTGATACTGCTGTTGCTAAAACTTATTATCTGCTACATTATGGTGAAAATATATATAGTTCATTGTATCAACTCTTTGTGATTTAAATGAGTATCACAAATGTTTGTGAAAGAAATTAAGTCTATGCTAGCAAAATGCCGAATTATACGTATTACATACAAGATGATGAAAGGCATTTTCATTTTCCCTAATTCACTTAAACGTTTGATGAATGTGGCCCTTTAAGGTATAAATTGAGATTGAATACTCTATACAATGAAAATCCAATTATAGTTCGGCTTTTCTCTCAATTAGGTTCGGATATTCCATATCTTCTCCTTGCATATTCTAACAATCCAGCGGATGCCAACTACTCAACATTGATATAATCTATTGAGATAACTGGATTTAATACATTTGGAACAAAGAATTAAACGATCTTTAACTTTATTTCTATATTTTAATGTGCTTATACAGAAATGAAAGTAATTAATTCCACTATGAGATTTAAATATCATTTGAACTAGGAGATATAATGGAATTTGACTGAAAATTTCGCACTAAATGATACCAGTTACTAATGCTACCCAACAATAATAGAATTGTTAAGTGTGACTGATAAAGATAATAATCTCTTAAGCTATCCAGATGGTATCAAAATAGTTAATAACTCTCTTTTTATGAATGTTAGTGATCTTACATTTTTGGATTATAGCCCACTAAAATTGAATATAATAGCCTATTAGTAGAACTACCCTTAAATATCTACCTCTGTAACTTTTGAAGAAGACATACTCTTTTCTTGTTATTACGATAAGTTGATTTAGATTACAGATTTCGCATTTTCGTACAATATAACTGATCCAAGTATACTAGTAAATATATCAGAGATTAGTTAGGTTTATCCATTGCATTGCACTCATTAGTTAAGATACTAATGCACAGGTAATATTAAAAGATGTTATTCTTAATCAATTTTAGTTGTTGGAATTATAATATGCAACTAAGAAATATTTTTCGTTGATAATTAAACTGGCTAACTAAGAGTTTAGTCAAATGATATAAGTTAAGCAGGAATCTATAGAGTTTTTTTAATTTAGAGGTCTTAGCATGGATAAGTATACAGAATAAATTACTAAGTAGAATTACTGAACCAATGTCA